AATGTCTCTAAAGATGATGTCTGTTTTCAATTGAACAGCAGAGTTGTGACATCATTGTCTAGGAGGACAATGGGGTCTAGGAGTATGTATAGAACATTGGCGTCTAGGAGTCTCCCCTGGTTCAAAACCATCTTTAGAGGCCCTAGCACGCCATTTCTCGACCCGCTCTTTCGTTTGAGCCCAAAAAAACATTCATATCTTGTCTGACATCTTTGCTACAAACTCGGGTTTTCAACTCGGGTTTTCAGTTGAAGTTAAAAAAAAAAATGATGATAGTTCTCTGAAAAATAAACGTTTTTCCCTGTGTGAACATCAACAAATTTTACGGGATTTAATTGAATTGATGGATATATTATTATTCCTCGAAAAGTAAAATTTAAATTTCAACAAATCAATCATTTCACTTGAAATGAATACGCCGAGTGGTTCCATCACTCGAGGGGTTCAAACGCAGGGTGATACATAAAGGAATATACTCGTTAGTGAATAGATTTCAGATGATTGATTGTCACTTGAGCCTAAAACCATCGTCTAAGTCTTCTTTTATGTTTAATGGAAAATTTATTCATACCCGATTCAGATTTGACAATAATTGATTGAGGATTCCTACGAGACATATAATAAAATATATTAGAATTCATTTCACCTCAGGTGCCCCCTACGCCCGGAGAAATGGTTTATTCTAATTGAATAAAATGTATTTTCTTCAAATGAATCGTTTATTTGCAATGAATCACTTATTTATTTCATATAATTCCAATGCGGTAATTCTCTGGTTGTGCTTTTGGAAATTAAATTGAAAAAAAATCTTGATACTTGGATTAAGACATCAGAAAATGAGAATCAAATATTCTGTGCCTCAGCCAATTACGAAAAATTACATAAACATTAGACAAATCTCTCAATAATGTGAAGAATGAGGGTAGAATTATTTCGATAAATTACGGTTATTTCCATTTAGTCGCACGATCAACCTTGAATAAAAATTTTCTGTTAAAATAAATAAAGCTCTGGAAAGAATATCTGTTCAAAAACTTCAAATACTGCATTTCTATCGATCTAAAGTCTGATGGAAGAATAACTAACTGAGTGCCCCTTCTCCTCAAAATTTTCCCACAATTTTCGAAACTTTTGGAAATTGCAGAAAATTGGAGCATCCGCAACACCACACAGCGAACATTACAATTAAATATCTCAATTACTCAACCTCTCCAATTACTTTCATTCCCCCAGAGACCTTTTGAAGTCATAAAACTAATTCCCTCATAATAATCCCAGCACCAAAATTAATCTCTCGGATAGCAATAAACTTCAGCCATCAACTCTCAGTCCTTCAAATTAACCATTGAGAGATACGTGACAAAGTGAATGCAATCTATGTACGTAATGTCACAGTAATGTGCTAATTGTAATTGCAATGGTCCAACCCATCACCACATAGTGGGGCAATGGAATGACATTGGGTTGAAACAACAGAATGTGTGGTAGACCGAGCAATTAGGCATACCCAGAACATCAACGCAGCCCAGTTGGTTTAGCATGGGTTTTGTGTTAACTTGACACATGTAGCATCCACGATCCTGTTCCTTAACATTTCTTATGTGCAACTTCCACGTCGCCTCGTCCTCGTTTCTTCCAGTCGTTAAATTCGTCTTAGTCCTCATGTTCTCGAGTGATACGGAGAATTTTTGGGGATTTGTTATGGATCTAGTGCCCATTGACAGTATCATCTGATTCTCATTCCGGAGCCATGCCACCTGAAAGCGTAATTATCAGATTATTTTTCAACTTTTCTTCTACCTACAAGTGCTAGAGCAACTCAAACATTGTTTGAGTGATACTCAGGGGTTAATTTATATCCACTCGAGGAAAGTGTATGTGAGGAGGAAACGCGGGGGGGGGG